CCTAGTTTCAGCCAGGCCTTAGCATTGTAAAAAAGAGGCCAAGCCGCCGGCACGCGTGAGACCAGGGAGGCGCTTTGTCGCAGATATGGGATAGTTTGGCAAGTCGACATGCTTGGCAAGTGCGCCGCAAATGCCCCCAAGCAACATGCAAGATAGGCGAAACGTTCACTCCACCAGCCGTTTGAATACAAGGATTCTTCCCCTTTCTGATGCATCCAAGATCTGCGGGTGCCGACAACACCAAAAAGATTCCTACCGCACCAAACTGTATGGTACGAATGCTGCTCTCATTCAATTAAATTTTATGAACGTCACAATTTGAAGACAAAAAGAATGCCTCAGCTGCATCAAAGTAAACAAGGATTGGTCTTTACGTTTACGGCCCATTTGACATTTGTCCAACATTTGTCCTCATCATATTTTCTGCATAAACACGTATACTTATGGCTCATCTATACGATCAGATTACATGATGATGTCACAAACAATGATCAATCCTCCACCCTCTCCAGCAACGGCAACACGGCGTCCACCTCGCCCTTGGCAAGGGAAACGACGGCGCCAAGCAAAAGGTCGCTTTCTGCACACTTGAGCGCACCTAGATGCCACTCCCAAACTCCTTGAGTTTGTATGCATTGTACTTAGGCATACAAGGTTCTATTTTTACGAATTTTATGCCTATTTACATATAAAAACATGAAATGTCACATTTCGCCACAGTGGCGGGCGCAAGGAGTTGCACGTGCCACATTTGGCAGTCACATTCCCCTGAGGTGCGAACCAATAGTATCGGCAAGGTACAGAATTGAAGTTGCCGGTCGTGAGCGGACGCAGCCGCCCGCACTTGAGCGAGGAAATGCAACACCCCCTGTCTGAGATACTATCCGACGGCTTCAGCTCCGTCGAGGCTGCTCTCCCATTGTGGTGGATACTATCCGAGCGCATTTTTCCGCGGCACAACAGAAACCTGGTGGGCCCAAAACCAGATTACAATGTGGGTTCAGCATGGTGCAACTATATTGGTGCAGCTTTCCAGATCATGTATAATCTTCCAACTATATGGTGCCATGTCCCATCGGTGAGAGTATTCCATTGTCTTGTTCGACCCGGATATATCCCCTGCCGCGTGATTTCCATCCCGTCAGTCATAAGTGAAAGCAGCCAATATCAGAGTCAAAGAAAACCAACGCGTCATCATCCCTTATGTCCTCTGTGTTGTCCAAAGGCAAGGATGTTCACAACCTCACGATGTCGTCTATCCAGTTGCCAAGGCGGCACCGCCTCTTGCACTCGCCGCTATCCTGCCAGGGGCGCTCTCCGCCTCGAGGGGGTCTTTGCATGGGGTCCAGCCAAGCTCACATGGGGCCATCGCTCTTGAAGGGGAACGAACATAGCTCCTCGAACGTACCCTCAAAAGGCTCTCCAAGCCATCAATTAGAGGCCTCCCACCTCACGCAGTCATCACTCTCCCCCTTCTGTTCTGGCGAGCGTCGTAGCCGTCCAGTCATGGGGACGCTGCCTCGTGGCGCTGGCAGCATATCCAGGCGTTGGGCGTCGATAGCCGTTGTCAGGCTCAATTGTATACACTGCACTGGCGTCATGCCACCTATATTCAAGCATAGGGGTGGCAGAAGTCTAGGGTAGCACCCATCAGCGCTAACGGGCCGTTATCGTGTCCGGTAATTGTCCCAGTCGTCTCCAAAACCACAACATACTGTTCGGGTCGCCAATAATGGGAGTCATCAGAAAAATTAGTATGTTAATGGAATGTACTGGAGCTGGATTTGTCAACCTGGCGTGGTGCTAGACAATTCTGGCATCTTGTGGCATGCAAGCTGCTCAGGATTGTGCTTCTAGCTCAGAGCAAGATGGTTTGTCACGGAAGGCTGGGTGCCATCAGTCAAAAACCTGTTTTGGTAAAAACTGATAGAAATGTGGTTTTGTAAGGGTCCATCAGTAGCAAATCAGACTTGCAACATGCTGTTGCTATCCCAGGTTATGTACAGGTGTTTTAAATAAAATATCTGCACTAGATTTTACCTCAAACGAATCCTTAACGAACAAGATATGACATTTTATGTGCGAAGGGTGCCGTTTGTGATGGAGGGGGGGGCCGTCGCGGTCTGCCGCGGAACACGATGGGGCGGAGCCGTGGGCGAGGCGCGTGGAGGCGCCGCGCAGCTGTGTGATGGGAATACGACCCGTGGGGCATTCTGTGGCTGCTGGCCGCGGAAAGTGGGGTGTACCGGACCGAATTGCGGCGATACGATGGTGCAGTACAAAGATTCCAGGGAATCAAGAGATTCTTTCACAGAAAGGGGGTATAGTGTGAAGTGTTGGACGCCTTGAGCAGATACAAGTACGGAGGGCGTGGGCAGCGCCGTGGGGGAGTCTCTATTGTTGCACCCGGTATGGCAGCTGAAAGAACGACTGAGTGGGGTTCGTGTGTCTCTCGCGCGACGGTCTAGGCGTTTGTCCTGGCTGCCTGACTCCCCTGGCTGTGCGCACAATGTCCGCCACTGCCTGAGCGCAGTAGCGCCCTACCTTTCGAAGGTTGCTGCCGCTCTGGGCCGTTCTTGAGCCGCTTTCTTGCGGCTCACGACCAACACCTCGCGTGCGGTCCTGCTGTCGGCCAGAATTGGCCAACCATCCTCGGTGCACAGCCGTGGCAAGGTGGGAAGAAGCACTGCTACGTCACGCGCTGCCGCATTGTAGACGGGACTGAGCTGGCCCGTGCACCTAACCGACGTTTTTGACTTCATCGACCTTTGAGGAGCTGTTGCGACTGATTGCGGAGCTCTGGACGGCCGTTTCAAGCCTTTCTACAAAGGCGTTTGCGTGCGTTGGCTGGCGGTTGGCCATCTGCTGCCCGTTTGAGACATCCATCTACTGCCGTTGCCATTTTTGGCGGCGATCGTCATTGTGATATATCACCGCTTATATAAACGGTGTATCATGATGAGCCAGTCTGCGCGAGGGGGGACATCTTTATCGTCCACTGCGCTCTCAAAACCAGCGGATCTGAGGCTGTCGACGTGGACCAGCTGCCCATGAATATGGGAGAGGCTTATGCGCGGTTCCCATGGCGACCATCGGAATGTGGAACGGTCATCGCGCCATCAACTGGGGTTGGATTAGCAAGCAGAACCTTCACATCGCTTCATCTTCCACTGCGGCGCACGTCCGGAGAGTCTACCTGCCATCATGATTGGTGGATTGCAACAATACAGTGTACGTCAAGAGGCTCACACGGATATAACGACACAGAACAGTTACGTAGCCCAGGCCTCGACACGATACTGGTGCATCATAGTCGATCAAACGATACATTAGAAGTCCAGACGTTACAGCATAGATGCTATGCTATCATAAAAGAAACTAGGTGATCTAGGGATTCCCAAATGCCCGTCACATGAAAACCATTTTTACGCGTTAATGGCCGTAAAGACCATGCCCAAAGTTAATGTATACTGTATGGAAATGAGAAAACCGTGCCTGCGCCAAGACAAAGTACTGGTCAGTGTAGGGGGTGGGTACAGTATACTGCGTAGTGGCTGAAGTGGTGCATTAAGAGAAAGTGGGCGGAGCATCAAGAAGGGCTATGGGGGACTTCGCGCTAGCACGGCTAGCTGGTCAGAATTAGTACGGCTAAGGGTGACATCGCGTTAGTACGGCTAGTCGGCCAGGAATAGCGAGGGCTATGGGAGACTACGGGGTAGGACTGAGGGTGCGTTATCGTGGGACAGGCTGTCGAGAGTAGTTGGGTTACTGGGTTTCACTGGGAAGTGTGGGAGAAGGCGGTACTGACAGAAAGAGCCAGCGAGGGTGCAAGTAAAACGAACGAGGAATCGTGTACTATAAATGGATGTGGTGCAATGTAAGACCTGCCCTTCCACGCCTGACGCCTTGCGGCTGAAGGCACTGGCTCAAAGTGTGTGTCTGCCCCTGTGTGTGCTGCGCGTTGCGTTGGTCCACCGCGCGGACTCCCGACACATCCGTCGCGTGAGGGATTACAATACCAAGCAAAATGCGCCACGGGCTTTCGTCTCGAAGCGCCCCAGTATTCCAACAGCAGGGCGCGCGGCTACGGTGGGCGAGCCACCGAGGGCCGCAGGGCCCGGGCGCGGCAATCGCGACGGGGGTCAGAGACTTGTGGCGCGTTCGCCAGACAGGCCCTGTGCACTTTTTTGTGGCCTTTTGCTTCGAGCGGATCCGGCAGGTGGATGGAGGGTAAGTGGAGGGGTGCTGACCCTCATCTCAGCGGTCTTGGATCGGTGCTTGAGCTGTCGAGAGTGGCGGTTGTGCTTGAGCGAAGGAGTCACGGGCGTGGCCGTCGATCATGTGGCTCGTGCACCGTGGGCGCGAGGCGATGGACGAGGTGGTGTATCCGCACTGCGGAATGGCTCTGCTGGGAACCTGGTGGGAGTGTCCCGGATGCTGCTGACCTGGATGTTCCCTTGCCCGGGATGGGAGGTCAGGGGCCCCCGCGGTTGTTGTGCGCATCTGCGGGTTGGCGGATGCCCCGTCATGGTCCAGGTTGCGCGGCGTTGGCGCCGCCTTTGGAAGATGGGTGCCCAGGGTGCTCGGCGCCGAAGCAAAGTTCAGTCGCCCAAGTTGGGTCTTCTGTCCATTGTTGTGCTTGCGGTCAAGGACTGTTGACCAGTGAGTGCAGCGTCCTTCAGGCCTCCCATTCTTGTGCTCTGGCGCGATGTGCAGACACGGCTTCTTCGCATTTATCGCGCTTCTCCCATTGCGTAACTGCGCAGCTCCGCAACCCCGGCATGGCCGCTGAGTTTCGAGAAGTAAATTTGGATCTGATCGAAACAGTGTGGTTGCCTGTTGCAGCTTTGACGGTCGTCCTGCGTGGCCCACCCTTCTTGTGAAACCACGATTTCAGTGGCGCGTCTCCACAGCACTCGACCATGGCCGAGGCCCCACCCGGCGGTGGAGAACACGCGCAAGCCGAGGAGCGGTTGGCGGATGATTTGCGGCGAAAATTGATGTCGCCGGATGCGGGTCGCGTGGAAAAGCGGTCGCGGATTGGCGTGTGGTACAATGCCAACCTGCTGGCTCGAATGGACTTGAGGTGGATACGCACGAAGGGCGGCGCGGACTTCCCCAGGGATACCAAGGCCTGGGTGGGCAAGGGGGGCCACATCGAGCTCGTGAGAGGCCGGACAGAGGTCATCTACAGGGAGGGGGAGTGCACGTGGGCGGTGCAGTTGGATGGGGATAAGAAAGTGTTCAGGGCAGACTCCCCCGAGCGTGCGGCTCAGTGGGTGGCAGCTCTCCGGTGGCGTGTGTGCCCATGGATTCAACTGCTGAGGGGCCAGGGGCCTGAACGCCAGGATCGGCTTGGCACCTGGCAGGGACATGACCAGTCAAGCTGGCCTCTTCGCACGGCGCATTTGCAAGTGGCCCAGTCTGCAGTGGGCGTCATGGACATTGCAGCAAGGCTCACAGGGGAGGTATTGGGTGCATTGCCTGTCGTGGGGCCTGTTTTTTCGGCACTGGGCTTCGCCCTGGAGGTGGCGGCCAGAATCAAGGGGGACATTGATGGCCTATGCCCAGCACAATCTGGGCTTTCACGAGTCGCAAGGCGAACCATGGAAACATTGCAGGGAGGCTTGGAGCGCCAGCTGGAGGGTCGCCTTGGGGAGCTCTCAGAGCTGATGGGGGTGATCGAAGAGGGCGCTCGACAGCTTGAGGGCTTTGAGTTTCAGTCAAATGTGCGGATGATGGTGCATGGAATATTCAAGGGCAAGCCAGGCCCAGCAACAGTTGCAGAATTGGTCTCATACTGCGAGTCACGCCTGGAATCCTACGAGGTCCATGACACGAATAAGGTGGCTCACAATACAGACAAGAAGATGGATGCCATGCCAAAGCAAGTGGCAGCGGCAGGTAATGGGCAGCTACAAGCCCACACTGCATTCTCAGCACTTGACAGAGTTGCGCACACACAACTGTCTGTTCATGTGTGCAAAAGTGTCATTGCTCCTTCGACACGTAAATGACCAGCTGCAGTGCGCTTAAACTGTAGATCTGGACATTTTTCACTTGATAAGATTGTGTGCTATTGTGTTCTGAACAAGCTGACAGCATCTCATATGACATTCTTCTTGAGAGCTCTGTGAATGTGCAACAAAATCAGTGGCATTCTCTCTTGCCAATCCAAGTGGCAATACTGTCTGGCCACATTGCCGACATTGATCACAGCTGCTGGTGCATATCGGTACAATATTTCATACAGAAATATGGGCAGATATGCCTATCAAAGTAGCCAACCAGAGAATCCCAGGATAAGTAGTGGCCAAGCCAACACCATGAATGTTGCAATGACTTCTTTTGTTGCTCACCTTCAAGAATACTTGAATTACCATACCTGCTGGAGTCATCACTGACCACATCATTAACAGAGAATGTGGGAATTCCTTCAAAGCTAGTTATTTTTTCCTTGGCCTGCAGATGCCAGACAACAAGCATCTTGTGATTGTGTTCAATTCATATCGCCTGTGCCTGTGACCATCATGCCAAAATTGCCGTGCCAGTTGACACCCAACCTGCCAGGTTTCCAGTGTGGTGTGGCCAGGAACAGTTGTTTGGTGGTCAATGACAAGTTTATTTTGACAATTGATTGACAAATGCGTTGTTGTGCTGTGGGCAGTTGAGTCAGCAATGCGAAAGGAGGGCGGTACGGGTGGTGCATCATGTTACATTCCTATTCGCCCAGCCGCCATTGGACTTGAGGAACAAGCCTCTGCCATCAAAAAGCTGATTCTCAGCGACAATACCAAGTACATTGCTTTGGTTGGGATGGGTGGCGTGGGCAAGACCACCCTGGCAAGATTTGTCTTGAATGATCCAGATGTGCAGAACCGATTCCGGAAAAATGAACAAACCAAATGTCTTGGCTTGGCGTTTGTGATAGTTTCGCAGAACCCGGTGCTCTTGGACTGCCTGAAGCGAATTTGGGAGGCCCTACTGGGAGGTAAAGTGGATTTTGCTAGTGTCGAGGATGGAAAGCTGCGGCTGGAAGCTGCATTGCAAGACAAATCATTTTGTCTTGTTTTGGATGACACCTGGGATGAAGCTGACATGGTCCGTCTCGATGTTGCATCGCCAAATAGCCGGGTGCTCATCACATCACGAAATGACAAGGTTGCACGTATTGTGGGAGCGAAGTGCCATGATGTGACACCTTTGAATGCGGCACAATCATATCAGCTGTTTTGCAAGCACGCCTTTGATGGCAACATGCCCAAAAAATGGCAAGAGAAGCATGTACAAGAGATCATCGAAAAGTGTGCAGGCCTTCCCCTCACATTGGAGATTATGGGAAAGTTGGCCAAAAGTTTCGAAGAGCGAGGACAGTGGCACAATGCTGTGCAGGATTTGATGGCAAGCTCAATGGTCAAGAAGAGTGTGTTTGAACATGTCTTTGAGCTGAGTTTCAACAGTGTGGATTCTGTCCATCAGGGGGTGCTGTTGGACTTGGCAATGCTACCTGAGGATCACCGTGCCCGGGCCACGGATGTGGCAGAATTAGAGATGTGCAACGAATCGTATGGTGGTGAACAAACAGCACGTCAGGTGCTGAGGAACCTGGAGGAAAAGGCGCTGATCAAAAAGGAAGGAAAAGATACTTTCGGTGTGCCAGAATTTCAGCCCTCTTGCGATCGGTTTGGTAACTTGCGTGGTTTGCGGTACTACTTGCATGATGTGGTCCGTGAAGGTGCTCTCAGGCTCATTGCTAACACACCGGTGTTGCATCGAGAGAGGTTCGTGTCATCACAGTTGAAAGACATCACTTGCAGGCGTGTGGCATTGATGGCAACCAGGTTTTCTGCCAGTCAAAGGATGGGGACGGACCAACAGAGGGTTCTGCGTGATCTAGATATGCCAGAACTTCAGGCTCTTGTGCTGCGAGATGCAGGAGTGCCAGGGCTCCCTCCTTCCATTCTGACTGCCCAGTTGTTGGCAATTGACCTGACGTCCTCAGGCATCACCGAGCTGCCATCACAACTGTCATGTCTTCAATCGCTGCAGCTGCTCAGACTGGATGATTGTGAGGGGCTGACATGTCTACCAAGTGAAGTGGGTGCGATGGTGGAGCTCAGGGTGCTGTCCATGAGGGGCTGCAGGGGCATCTATGAAGTTCCCAAGGCTATGGGAAACCTGACCAAGTTGTCCAAGCTTCTGATGCCAGAATGTGGAATCGCCCATTTCTACTTTCCTGATGTGAAGAAATGGCACAATTTGACCATGTTGGACTTGAGTGGTTGTGTGGGTCTGAAGCAGTTGCCCCAAAATTTTGGAGATTTGACGTCTTTGGCCGAACTGAACTTGGGTGGTTGTTGGCAGCTCACATTCCTGCCAAGCAGTATTGGTCGATTGTTGCGCCTGCGAGTGCTGATTTTGCACAACTGTCGCAGTCTGACAGAATTGCCTGACAGCACAACAAACCTTGCTGAGTTGGAGGAGTTGGATTTGCAGCAGTGCAAGCAGTTGGCAGACCTTCCTAGTGCCATTGGTTCCTGCTGCTCAAAGTTGAGGATATTGAGACTTCAAGGGATTGATGGCATGGCATTCCCACAGTTTGCAGACAGCCTGGAGTACCTTGATGTATTGGGTATTCCAACAGGATGTGAAGTGCCTGAGGGCTCCAGACAGCATTTTGAAGAGCTTGAGATATCACTGGAACAAGGCGAAGCTGACGAAGAGCGAGGGGAACGCCAGTTGTGCGGTCACACCGTCATATACGTAAGTTAAATATTCTTGGCCGACCTTTGTCACACCATCAGATCCACTTCGGACGACCCCTGCCAGGGGATTTGCTTCAGATATACAGTCAGAAGTAATTGACATTTGTGTGGTTCCTGGGAATTTTGTGTATGTACTGCAGAGCACTCCCTTGCACTGGGCAGCTGCACTTGGCATGGACAAGATGGTTGCCTTTCATTTGAGAGAAGTGGATGTGGATTTTGGGGACGAGGTGGGTCTTAGGGAACTGCAGCAATAATGCTGGTAGAAATGCTGGGACTAGGACAGCGTATGACTTGCAGATGTCTTACTATCTGGCCACAGAAAACTCAACATTGCACATGATACACACAACGTGTTTCAGCGATCTCACTCGTGTCTTATGCCAATGGGAGTCACAACATTCGATGTCGAAGCACAGCAGGGGAACAGCGATATCTAGTTGCGCCCAAGGAGGGTGTCAGGTTGGTGTCTGCTGGAGAAGCATGGCGGGAAGCCACACATGTTAAAATCAATAATTGTGTCCAGGATGGCAGTTTGACTCGATGCAACAAGAAACATGTGTGGCAAGTTGCCAGTGCCAAATGATACTTCCAAACATATGTTTGCTTCACATGCCAACAAACTTGAATGTGAATGTCCAGCCAAAAGTGTAATCTGTCAGCAAGGAAGCACATGGTCGTTTCCCTGGAAGGCATTTCAGAGTCCTTGTGGATGCAGGGTTGGAAATCCATACATCAAACATTTGTGCCAATTTGGCGCTCCCTTCCGAGCTTTCATTTATGGAATGCAGTGTGAGGGGCTGCTCTTACCAATTCACAGAAAGAACTGCTGTATTTGTCATCCTGTGTGGGGCCAGCGGGATGCCAATCCACTGCTAACGCACAGTGTTGACTGGCTTTGAAGAGGCTTGCCTGTCGTACCCTCGCTGGTGTGGAGAATGCTTTCTATGATTTGAAATTCATCCATCGCATCCTTTTGCCCAATTGTGGTTCTCTTCAGAGGCGTGAGTTGGGGTATGCGGCACAGTGCTTCCCTGTTTGGCCAGGGGGACTGTTGCATGTGGTGGCCACTGCTGGGCTAGCATGCTACCATTCCGAGCCTGCCACCCCACACTGACTGACAATGACAGCTTTCCTACGAAACCCTCTCTGGTGTGGAGAATGCATTCTATGATGCACAGGGTGGTGAGACACCCCTCTTCTCGGCTGCACGGGGCGGCCACACCAGCACTGCGGCACTGCTTTTGGAGCACGGTGCCACAGTGGATGCCACCAGTAAGGTGAAGCCTGGTCTTTTGTACTTTCACATCACGGGCCATCGATGTGCATGTGGATGCATGATACGAAATCCATCCATCGCATCCTTTTGCCCAAATGTGGTTCTCCTCAGAGGTGTGAGTTGGGGTATGTGGCACGGTGCTTCCCTGTTTGGCCAGGGGGTCTGTTGCATGTGTTGGCCACTGCTGGGCTAGCATGCTACCATTCCGAGCCTGCCACCCCACACTGACTGACAATGACAGCTTTCCTACGAAACCCTCTCTGGTGTGGAGAATGTGTTCTATGATGCACAGAATGGTTGGACACCCCTCAACTGGGCTGCATGGGGCGGCCACACCAGCACTGCGGCACTGCTTTTGGAGCACGGTGCCACACTGGATGCCACCAGTAAGGTGAGGCCTGGTCTTTTGTACTTTCACATCACGGGCCATCGATGTGCATGTGGATGCATGATATGAAATCCATCCATCGCATCCTTTTGCCCAAATGTGGTTCTCCTCAGAGGTGTGAGTTGGGGTATGTGGCACAGTGCTTCCCTGTTCGGCCAGGGGGGCTGTTGCATGTGTTGGCCACTGCTGGGCTAGCATGCTACCATTCCGAGCCTGCCACCCCACACTGACTGACAATGACAGCTTTCCTACGAAACCCACTCTGGTGTGGACAATGCGTTCTATGATGCACAGAATGGTTGGACACCCCTCTTCTGGGCTGCAAGGGGCGACAACACCAGCACTGCGGCACTGCTTTTGGAGCACGATGCCACAGTGGATGCCACCAGTAAGGTGAGGCCTGGTCTTTTGTACTTTCACATCACGGGCCATCGATGCGCTTGTGGATGCAGGGTACGAAATCCATCCATCGCATCCTTTTGCCCAAATGTGGTTCTCCTCAGAGGTGTGAGTTGGGGTATGTGGCACAGTGCTTCCCTGTTTGGCCAGGGGGGCTGTTGCTTGTGTTGGCCGCTGCTGGGCTAGCATGCTAGCATTCCGAGCCTGCCACCCCGCACTGACTGACAATGACACCTTTCCTACGCAACCCTCTCTGGTGTGGAGAATGCATTCTATGATGCACAGGGTGGTGAGACACCCCTCTTCTGGGCTGCAAGGGGCGACAACACCAGCACTGTGGCACTGCTTTTGGAGCACGGTGCCACAGTGGATGCCACCAGTAAGGTGAGGCCTGGTCTTTTGTACTTTCACATCACGGGCCATCGATGCGCTTGTGGATGCAGGATACGAAATCCATCCATCGCATCCTTATGCCCAATTGTGGTTCTCCTTAGAGGTGTGAGTTGGGGTATGCGGCACAGTGCTTCCCTGTTTGGCCAGGGGGTCTGTTGCATGTGTTGGCCACTGCTGGGCTAGCATGCTACCATACCGAGCCTGCCACCCCACACTGACTGACAATGACAGCTTTCCTACGAAACCCTCTCTGGTGTGGAGAATGCGTTCTATGATGCGCAGGGTGGTGAGACACCCCTCTTCTCGGCTGCACGGGGCGGCCACACCAGCACTGCGGCACTGCTTTTGGAGCACGGTGCCACAGTGGATGCCACCAGTAAGGTGAGGCCTGGTCTTTTGTACTTTCACATCACGGGCCATCGATGCGCATGCGGATGCACGATACGAAATTCATCCACCGCATCCTTGTGCCCAATTGTGGTTCTCCTCAGAGGTGTGAGTTGGGGTATGCGGCACAGTGCTTCCCTGTTTGGCCAGGGGGGCTGTTGCATGCGTTGGCCACTGCCGGGCTAGCTTGGTTCCATCGCAAGTTTGCCGCCCTGCTCTGAATGGATGTTTACGGAGTTGCCAGGCGCCCTTTGTCTTGATTGATGCCTGATGGCCTGGATGGCGACACACCCCTGCTTTGGGCTGCAAAACAGTGTCACAGCCACACGATTGCCCTGCCGTAATTGTCAGGAACACGTTAGCACTTGGCAGTTTGGGCCATTTCTCTAGCAGGCTTTGATTTTCCAGGTGACACCGTTGTCCAAATCGTGTCCACCATTTGGCCTTTTGTGACCTTCCCCGGAGTTGTCATTAATGGCGAATTGGGATATGTACCACAGTGTTTTCAGTCTGTAAGTTGATCTGTTGCATATGTCAGACGTTGTGGGGCCGGGCTGGCTTGTTGTTGTCCCAATTCTGCAACCCCACTCTGAACAGACGCAGAAAATGCTGGGCGGCCAAAGGCGGTCAGAGCATTATCAGAAACTGGTCAGTCTCTCCAGAATAACTGGAAGCCCCTCTGCGCGCACAAGTATGGATACCAATTCAAAAGTGTGGCACATCAACGGTGCAGATCGTGTGCCATACGTGGTACCTTCGTTCTGGAGCCTGGCAGTGTGGACTGGCCTCTTCTTTTGCTGTTTGTTTTCCTCACGGGTGCTCTTTCTGCCAGATATGTTCATCTTAGTGGGAAGGATGTTGAGTCTTTATAAGAAGGCAATGGCGCACAATTTTTCTTTTCATTGAGCTGTGTGTGTGTTCACAGGAAGGAATAACCCCCTTGCTAGCTGCATTCCGACCTGGATTGTTTAGAAAGGGCAACAATGAGAATACCGTTTTGGAGCTTGTAGAGCTGCTAGCAGACAAGGGGGCTTCTTTGGATGCAGCTGACCAGGCAAGAAATCCACCCCACCATTCTCACAGAGCAGTGTTGTTTGTGTTTGCGGTTTCCGTCCCGCATGGCGGCAATGATGACAGTTTCACAGCATGAGATGACGCGCAGGGAGGGAAGACACCCCTCATGGAGGCGGCAGCAAATGGCTACACAAGAGTTTTTGAACTGCTGCTCAGCAAAGGCGCTTCCGCGAATCTGGCGGACAAGGTGATGTCACACAGTTTGAATGCCCCCTAGTGTGACTAGCTTGTGGTGCCCTAGTTCCCACAATTGTCGAAAGGGTCCAGCAAGGGAACGTGTTTATATTTCGATGCCGTCGACTTTGAACTGATGGCACCGAAATTGGGCTTGATCACCTGAAATGCGGCACGAGGCCATAAATCAGCAGGGGCTTTGACTCCATATAAGATATGTACTTTGTTAGCATGTGCAGCATTCCTCCTGCAATGTGCAGTTGGGATTTCTCGTACTCATTTTGCAGTGCATCCATCGCAGGTAGTTTAAACATCTTAAAACACGTAAACACAGGATTGCAGAAATTAGATCGCAAGGGTGCCCACCCAAGCATGGTGTGTGCGCATTGCTGCAAGTTTTGCAATGGCGAATGGGTTGAAATGGTCTTGTGGGGCATTGCAAGCATCCACAATTGGCCTCTTGAAACAGTGAAGTGTCACCGGTGTGTGTTTGCTTCTGAGTGTTGATGCGCATGCCCTGCACGGGCCACAGTGCAACAGTGGATGCCACCAGTAAGGTGAGGCCTGGTCTTTTGTTTCACTTCATGGGCCATCGATGCGCATGTGAATGCATGATTCGAAATTCATCCATCGCGTCCTTTTGCCCGATTGTGGTTCTCCTCAGAGCTGTCAGTTGGGGTATGTGGCGCAGTGCTTTTCTCTTTTGCAAGGGGATCAGTTGCATGTGTTGGCCACTGCTGGGCTAGCAAGCTACCATTCCAAGCCTGCCATCCCGCACCGACTGACAATGACAGCTTTCCTACGAAACCCTCTCTGGTGTAGAGAATGCATTCTATGATGCGCAGGGTGGTGAGACACCCCTCTTCTGGGCTGCAAGGTGCTGCCACACCAGCACTGCGGCACTGCTGTTGGAGCACGGTGCCACAGTGGATGCCACCAGTAAGGTGAGGCCTGGTCTTTTGTACTTTTACATCACGGGCCATCGATGCGCATGTGGATGCATGATACGAAATCCATCCATCGCATCCTTGTGCCCAATTGTGGTTCTCCTCAGAGGTGTGAGTTGGGGTATGCGGCACAGTGCTTCCCTGTTTGGCCAGGGGGTCTGTTGCATGTGTTGGCCACTGTTGGACTAG